CAAAACTCTACTAAAACCCAAACACACACGACAACAAATCGCTACCCAAAGCTCTAAAAGAAACCCCACACTCAAAAACGGATCACAAGAGGCCAATCCAAAGCAACCAACCCTAGAACACGAGACACCCACGAAATAACCCAAACGTTGAATTTGAACTCATAATCGAATTGATCTCAGGAAAGGCGTAAATCGACGACCTTGACCAGGATGGTGTCGCCGCGGAAGAGCTGGAGCTTCTCCATGGTCTCCGGGTGGAGCGAGACCACCGAATTGTCGTCGTTGATGGCCTCGTCGACGACGAGGCGGTTGGCGGCCTTCTTGCGCTCCAGAATCGCGGTGCTGAAGTCCCTCTTCGTCCCCTTGCTGCCGCCATCAAAACCAAAACCAAACCCAAAAAAAAGGGGAAGAACAAACCGATCGGCGAGGGTCAGATTGCCGGAGAAAAACAACGTGAATGGCAGACAGAGAAGGGGAAAGACAAGATTTTTCGACGGAGATCTGAACTTACGCGTCCGAGGATTCAGCTTGGTTGGTCATGGCGGTCGGATTCGAGAGCGCAGAGAGGCAGAGATAGAGAGAGAAAGAGAGAGGGAGTGAGGAATACGATATGGAAATTGCGCAGCGAAGAAGGACGGGGTTCGATGGGGGGTAATTAAAGTCGAAGAGGACTCTCTCCTTTCTTGTTGGCAAAGAAATGTTTTTTTATTTTTAATTTTCCTTTCCTTTTCCTCCTTTTAACCATTTATTTATTTTTATTATTGGACCCAAAAACAATAATTTTTTTTATTTTTCCTGAATAAACATGAATTTGTGGTTGATTTATCACCATATACAATTTGAAACATTGAATTGGGAGGTCGCAGTGAGGCCATGAAAATTAAGCTTTTTTTTTTCACATGAGTATGCCCACATCTATTTTGGATGCGCAATGTAAATCCCACCCTACAATAGATAATTCTATACAAGAAAGAAGGAAAAAAAGAAAAGAAACGCTCTGCGAGATGTAAAATATGATTTTCGATTGAGTTTGATTTGAATAGTCGACTAGAGATGAACTGACAATTGACTACCAATTGAATGACTTTTTTTTCTCGTTAATTGGATAAATTGGGATTTTCAAAGATTATAATGCTAATTTAGCACTTGATAACATTGACAAATCAATCGACTTGGATTAATCCTTTGCTTTCATTTAAAAATCGTTTAGTACTTTTAAATTACACTCGTTTCTTTACAAGTCAATGTGTATACCGAGCTCATGTTAATTTGAATTTATATTTATGTGAAACAAGAAAATATAGTCATCGAGATTGCGATAACTATTAATTAAATTTCTAGCGCCGAAGAATATGCCGTAAATTGGAAAAAAAAAGAAAAGGAAGACAAATTATAAGTATGACATCCTTCCCTGATTCCTTACCTTGTCATTGCTCCATGATCCAATATAAATGACATAAGCGAAAGACCGAGGAAAAGAACATTAAACAAATGACAAGAATCGAGCCAAGATTCCAAGCAGCGGATGCCTTGGCACTGCTGTCAATCCTTCTCTTCTTGAATGGGTCAGACCAGACGGTACGCAGGCTTCACTGTAAAGAGTTGCCACCTTTCTCCAAACGCCATTGCTGCATATCCTGCTCCCTTGAGCCTTCTTCGAGGAACTTGGAACTTCCTCCTCCTGTCTTTTCTTGCTCAGCGATGGCTACCCCTGAAACTGGGCCAAGATTCCAGGTGCCAGGATCTTCAGTCTGTCAAGTCAGCCACAACCAAGTGTGGATGAAACTGGGTCATCCTTCCTTTGCTCCAAGATCCTCCATTGCCGCTTGTCGCGTCGACCCTTTCATCAGAACATCATTGCTTCTCCGAACCCAGGATGCCCTTCCTTCTTTCCTAGTCTCAGTCGAAGTTGAAGTGGTTATAGTACAGTCCTTTCAACACCCTTTGGCCACCAGAGCATTAGGCTGTGTCTGTCTGCTGCCTCCAAAGCGAATTTCCTTAACAAAGGCATTGATAAGATCTTCCTAGCTTCAGTCAACAAGCTCCAGTATTTCCAGTAAAAAACACTCCTTTCCTCCTCTCACTGACCCCACCAGAACTTTAGGTATCAATTCATTCACCTCTCTGTACCATCCTCAGAGAAATGTAAAAAACTCCCATGGAATATGTAGGGACTGTTGTCCACAATTGATTTAGCAAGAATCTCTCTCCCAGCTTTGACTAAAAAGACTTTTTTTAACCTGCCGGTTGCTTCATAACCTTCACCTTTACAAAACCCGAAAGCTCTTTTTTTATAGTTTACCGGACACAGTTGGCAACACCAGGTAAGATCCGAGGTTTGTAGTTTCCCGAGTAACAGGCACCTGGCTCAATTCTTTTCTTACTTCACTAGGTACGTTGGAACTTAAGAAAATGCTATGACTGATGGAAATTGATTGGTTGGCCAGAGACTTTGCAATAAGAATCTAGTAATTCCTTAAGCCTCCTGCAACATCCGCCTTTGCTTCTGCTAAAAATAAAGAATCGTCCGCAAAGAACAAGTGAGAAAGCACTAGACATGATCTTTTCAGCTTTACACCTTTGATCATAAATCAAGCAAATTTGTCCCAAAGCTAACCTTAATCGATTTAAGTTTCATTGGAACTAAATATAATAAGAAGAAAGGAAACGGGTTATTAGGTAAAACCGAGCTAAAACCGAGCTTCATCAGTTGATTCTGCAACAACTACCATTAAAATAGCCTCTTGTAATGATTGGCACTTTGAAAGTACACTCACATTTGACCAAATGCTTACCTTAACGTTTGGGGGCATCACTAAAGACACGAAACGCCTTACAGCTGCATTTCTCCATCGATGTTATCACATGTTGACATCCACGGAGAAACAAAAACATAAGAGGTTCTACTCTCACCCCTAAAAAGGGTTGGGGTTAAGAATGAATATATAGAGTCAACAACACGACTAACAATGTTGCGTGCACGGAAGTTTGAGCATTTTTCTTTTCTTTGTCGTTAGTTGTACACAATGTAGAACAAGAATTTGAGGTTACATGGGGCAAGATAAATCACTGTCGATTTAAATACCACATGTATAAACCCTTCTACTGGAATTATTAGGTTTTAAGCTCGACAGCATCTGTCTCTACGTTGAAGAAAAACGGAGGGGATCTCCTTCTTCCCTCCCGACTTTAAAGTGCGATCCACGATATGCGCAACCTCACGGAGACACCACGGACTAGAGGAGTCGTCGAGGGCTCGCAAAAGCTTTCCGCCAATCATTTTGACTCACTCGGAGCTCTTCGTCATTTTGAAGACGCGGAGTCCTTTCTGCACCAGTTCACGAAGGAAGCAACTAGTAATGATGTGCCGAGTATCCGGTGCCCTAAAACTCAGGAACACCTCCAACTCCACCGCTGATGTGTTGGTCGCTGCCGTCATTACGCGTAACAAACAAGACTTGAGACAGCATCGAGCTGAATGAAAATAGTCAATGAGCTAGCTTGAGGCGAGACATTTCCCTCGTCCCGCTGTATGAGAGACTGAAAGCATGTGCTGTTGCTTATTTAAACAAATACTTGTAAAGATTTTATTTCGTCACGACAAATTTGGTGGTATCACGAAACATGAATAATCGAGTAATTTAGCGCTACAAAATAAAAAGAAAAAATTGAATGAGGTGTGAAATCCTTTTCTTTTGTCAAATTTATTTATTGTCACTGGTCCCGATCTCATAGAAGGGTTCATGCGTTTGTTAAATACAAGTCTAATAGAAAATTAGTATCTGATGTATAGAAATTTATGGCAAAGTGCATAAGTGGACCGATACAGCACTTACATGCTGGTTTTCCGAAGTTTTATGCCCAGGCCATCACTGCCGCTTCAGTTTCTGGTGTGACGAAGGAGAGGAGTACGTGAAACCCTTTTAACATTTTCTTATTCTGCATGCACGAAAGTACAAAGAGGTCGGGGCGGGGCGCATAGGCGAATGCAGCGCTAAAATTTCGGATTAGCACTCAGGACGTTGTTGCGATCGCCCCAACTATCTTCATCGTCGTCTTCATCACTTCTGGCAAATGCCCGTCAAAGTCACAACTTCCAATTACTACGCTTTTAGTGGAATTGCGATGACAAGCTTGCTAACCTCAGACCTTCCGATTGAGCAGCTATAGCTCAAACCAAAGATTTCCTAGAGACTGTGTGACCCTTTTCCGGTAAAGCTTAGAGAGACTCGTTAGAACCGATCGCCCCATCCAACTCTTTTACTCATAAAAGAAAGTGCAGTATCGGGTTACTACACATAGTTAACGCTGATTAATTTCAAATATAAATTGGCAACGCATTGATCAAATATTGATAGATTCGAATCTAAGATGGTAATATTTTCAATACTCACACATTCCCTTGTGTAAAGCAGTGTTCTTAGAGATTCAGACACTGCAAATGCCTAAACCAACAGGAAGAAATTGAGGGAAAAAGAACAGAAACAAACATCAGAGGTTATTTCATTGGTTCGGAGAGACATCGAGTTGTTGACTCGCCATGTAATCGACTAGCCAGCCTATGTACAACATAGCAGGAATAGCTAGAAGCATGCATACATTGATGCAGCACTAATAAAGATCAATCTGTGACAGACGAGGCAGACACCTATGTACAGTATTACATATTCAGACACTTTACATCTTCGATGGCGTATAATCCATCGCATCTAGACGGAATTGGCACACGGAAATTAAAAAAAAAAAAGTGCTCGTTAGAGGGTCATCAAACAAAATATATTTTATTGAAAACATGTATATTTTAGGCATAAAAACATAAACTGTCCACATGCAGCAGAGTTGGCTGACTTCAACGATCATGCCTAGAATTGCATTTGAAGAGCTCTTGGAAAATGTGGATGGAGATTCCACATTCAACAAAATCTTCAATCGCAAACTATGGTTAAACAGTTGAAAAGAAACATAGAAGTCGCCCTGCTGAGCTCCAAAGTAAGAACATGCAAAACATAATGCGTTCTTTCTCATCTGCAGATATCACAACGGGAGAAAATGGTTGCAACAAGGCTGCTTTTGTTCTCGTCTCAAATCTGTTAATCCAGCTAGCAATTTGGCTATTAATCTTACAGCAGCTGAAAGTCAAGAAAGAAAAAGAGAGACACTAAAAAAGGGTAAGGGGACGCACATGTTACTACACGGTGAATAGAAGGAAAATGTTGAGGACTCACAAGAGTGTTGGCATTTTATTCATGTGCTCAAGTGCAAATTTCTCCCTCTTCCCTTCTAGCTGATGTTTCTTCACAATCCTCAGCTGCAGAAAGAATTGGCTTGGAGAAGTGGCGACAACTCCAATTATAAATAGTCGATTGCAGAAGGAAACTGCACTCTGGAGCCTCTGTAGCTCCTCCAGAAGTTAAAACAACATCAGCTAAGCCGGATTCCAGAGAACTCATCAAATATGGCCTGGACTCCAAAGAGCAAACTCTTCGCATTCCTGCTAAATAACTTGGCCGAGGAGGGCTAACAGGAGGAGTTCTGAATGTTAATGGAAATTGACCTGCAAATGATAGCTTAATATCAAGGAAGGGATAGCAGATTTAAACAAAGGAAGACATATTATCAAATTGGCAACTCAAGATAACAAATGCAACCAGACAACAAAAAGTGGGGTCTGCTTTAAGTAATTAACACAGAGAAGAAGCATTTCGTTTTTCTTATCTTTTTATTTGTGGAAAGAATAGGAAAGACTTTGAGCTAAGTAGAAATTACCAATTGCACGCATGTCGAACCATGAAGTGGACCGTGCTAGACCAGCAAGACTAGGGTATCCTGCTACAGTTTCACCAGGCCGCACACTAATGCCAGAGTTTCTTAAGGATTTTGTCACTACTTGCTCAATGCCCATAATAGAAAGCACATGCCTGCCAAGACTTGCTATGCGTGGTGATGGATCCTTTGCCAAAGTGCTCATAGCCGATATGCACTGGGAATAGATAGCCTTATCAAGTGGTTTTGACGTGAAACTGTTGCTCACACCATCATTGACTATTGTAGAATCGGAGAGCTGAGACGAATCATCTGATGATGGAGATCCATGCATAACTCCAGAAGCAACAAGAGGGCTGCTAGATGAGACCCTACTATCCCGAACCCACGGACTATCATTGCCAAATCTAAGTAAGGGACCCATTTGAGATGAAACTATACTTCCAAGCTCGATTGGGGTACCTCCACTGCCCATGCCTTTTATTTGTGCCAATGAAGGTAAAGAAGTCAGCAAAGAATTAGACTGAGATTTCCAGCGGGCAGCCATAATTGACTTAAGGTGCTTGTTGTGACGGAAAGCAAACCGTCCCATTGCTGTCAAATTAAAATGTCATTCAGTCAAGTAAGGAAATATAATCCAGAGAAATGCAGGAAAGTCCTCAATTAAAAATATTTGCACATGTTTTGCGCGCACATCACAGACTAGACCAAATTTCATCTGAGAGACAACATAAACTATTAGAACTCCCGTTTAGTAGCATAGCTGGAAGAGAAAAAAAAGTGGTTAAGAAGGAAAGTTATTCATGGAACATATAAAACACAATATGCTTGGGATTTCCTTAATAAGGGTCATTTGTAAGCTACAACCCAAGAAAACAATGGCACAAGTGCATGAGTTGGTAGTCCTAGGGTAGAAGCATCAAGGCTGATCACCTTGAACAATCATCTACCTATCATCTTCTGTGAAGTTGCCCAATAAACAAGAATAGCAGATGATGAAGTAATGAGCACAATTTTAGCTTTAGTATGCTTCTTAGTACATGCATTAAAGCATTAAAATGTGCAAGATAATGACTGCAACCAGCAGTAATACCATAGTCTGGATGCATATATCCAAGTAATGCTCATGAAATACAACTGATTAAATGAAACAAAACCATATTTTCATTAAAGCATTATTTCTCCCAACTGATCAAACAAGACGGCATTAAGAACTGTGAAGAAACATAACATCTAATATCAACAATGCCGAGGCCACTATGAACGGCAAGTAACCCAAGGGAAACTTTAGATCTAGAGTACTTTCTAAAATCATAAGGAAAATGGTTTTGAAACGGAAAGCAGCAAGTGCAATTCAAGCATGAGGCAAAATACTTTTCCAATATAATAGCATATAAGTGAAGCAATTAATTACATCTAACTATAATGGAACAATATCTTTTTGATATAGTTTTTTAATAGACACTGTACGACAATATCTTTGCATGAAATTGTCAAAAATATGGCAAGAGGTAGAGAAATAAAGTTTTGTAAAATTGAAATTTCTTAAGTGACACATAGTCTAAGGAAAAGAAGCAGGACATGATCAAACTGATTGTAACATTAAATGATCAAATAAGTTCTATGACCAGCTCATTGCAGACAGTACCAAGAGATTAGTTGGATAGAGTGTATCATCTTTTGCTGACTTAAATAGATTCTCAGAAAACAAAAGAAAGGAGAACCGCATACAACATATGGGGAGATCACAAACCTACAGCGACCTCTGCCCTCACCAGTGGGCTGCCGTCTGAAACAACACTCAAGAGGCTTTTGATAATGCTAATCTCAGCCCTAGCCTTTTCATCATCATCATATTCTTCGTCTCTAGTAACACTATCTGTACTGGAGTCAGACCCAACATCAAGCAGGGTACCCAGTGCAAAAACAGCAGAAGCCCTGACCTGAAGTTAAAAATACAGAATTTAGAAAGCCAATATCATTTACATCATACAACAGGCAGGAGTTATCATGTCAAGATTGAGATGATAAAGCTTAGACCTCCGGTTGGGGCTCGAATAATAGAGGATCAAATATAGCAGGGGCATTTGCCTCCAAACCAATCATTTGGGCCTCCGTAAAATCCTCCCAAACCTTTCCCAGACAAAGAGCAAGCCATTGAAGAAACAACGGATCAGTCTGCTTGTCATTTGGATTTGGACTCCGTAGGTGCCTCAAGCAGACATGGATAAGACCTGCTTGGACACATGCTTCCTGACCCCTACGATGGCTATCCACAATGACGGCCAAAACAAAGGCCGCCATTGCATGATGCTCGGGATGTGCTTCCCTACTGTCGAGAAACCTGATGAAGTATGTGTGCCCTCCAATTTTTACTAAATCCACCTGACATGACTATTGTTGCACGAGCAAAAAATTGAAGGCCATTCAGAATAATACACCACACTAATCATTAAGGAATTCCTAATAAAAGCAACATACTCGCAAATAGTGATTGAATTAGAACCATATTCTTGTGTTCTTTCGCTCAATATATGTTCCCTCTGTCCTTAAAAAAAATAAATCTCTCTCCAAAGGACCATATGTTCACATTTTGTACCAGTTGCTATTTAGTGCTTGATGAAAAGCAATCCCAAAAATTGCTTCTAGGATCATAGAGAAACAAAGAATCCAAAGCACAGAACAGACAAGCAACTTCCACTATTCGCAATTCCAGATTCATCTAAAATATGGACACTGTTATGGCCCCAAATACCCTCCCAAAACCATCCAATTTCCAAAAAAGAATGCGAGGACCAAGCAATGCACTCGACACTATCTACACATGGAACAAGATCCAAATATAGCAACCCAGCCAAACATGTTTAATGTTATGCAGTTAAACAACATATGCTGTCATCATTACCTTGTCAAAGGAAAGAATTTTTGTCCAAATAAATACAAGAATATGCTGCAGTTCTGGAGTTGGGGTGCGCAACAGCTTTAGGACATATGGAAACACTCCAACTGACAAGGCCTATGAGGAAGTTTTTTCAAAAGACTACGGTTAAAAGTAGCAGGAAGTACATCAAAAGAGAGAACACAAAATCAAAACCACCATTATTACCAGATTTATAGCCCAAGGTCCCATGTCGAGGAACCTTGCGAGGAGATCTAGTGCCCGAAATCGATGACTCTGGCTGAGCAGAACCTAAGAGTACACGGAGATACCTCAATCACTCGGGCTGATGGACCAACAGCACAACTTGAACAAGCAAGCTTAAACTTGATAAGCATCATGTTATTTTAACAATTTTAGCTGCTTTAAAGTAAACAAGCAAGAATAGTGAAGAATCGTGGAGCAAGAGAACTAAAAGTGTGACATGGTCACAAGATGACTCCAAACTCTGACTAGAGCAATATCACACCTGAAGAACAATAGGCAATTGCTCTGGTGGTTTTTTATGTTCGGACCCGTGATCAAGCCATGCCTCAAATGCTGTTAGCTGTTCAGTGAAAAAAGGGCTTGGCTGAAAGAACACAAACAATGTTACTTGAGGATAAACCGTGAGTGAGATCAAGCAATTTGAAGGAAAAGAGTAAAAATATGAACCAGGAATTCTGCACCAGAATCCTCAACCAAAGACGGAAGCTGCGAAAGGCAGATTTCGGCAGCCATGTCCCATGCATCCCTAGATACCAACAAGAATAAAATCAGTAGTAAATCTTCAACAACATGAAACCACTTGATCATGAGAGCAATTGCAGTACCACATATGATGCTGATGCGTCGGTGGCAGTGCTGGGTGAGATATTGGCAAACAGTTAGCTGCACGCATTATTCTTTCAGCAAGTAAAAAATTTCGGAACAAACTGGCTACCAAAAGGTCTTGTCTGAACAATTTTTGAAACAAATCTGCAGCACACCAATTGGATATTGACCAGAGGCAGAGGAATACGCAATTGATCAAAATAAGAAAATTAAAAAACTGCACAAATCAAGTACAAAGAATATATAAATACACACTACTACCATGAGGGAGAACATTCCAAGCAATAGTGTCAGTCACCGCAGTAAAAATCCAATTCAGTTCTCCCAGAGGCGTCTTGCGATCATCTGGGCGTCCGGGAATTTTATCAATCAGAGAATAATCAAGGGACTCCGATAGAAGTGATCTGGTACAGAACCTGACAGCCAAATTTTTTTTAGAGGAAGAGTTTTCTCAGAATAAATTGTGTCAACTAACAATTTCAGATGGATCATATAGCCAAGCTTCATCATCTATTTGGCCTATCAAATCATAGAGGAAGCTAAGGAGAACATCTCTAACTACAAATGATTGGAGAAAGCTATATAACTTATACAAACTTAAGCATAAGAACCTCCACACCCACAGCAAGAAGAACAGCAGCGTTCATATGCTTCACTTGGCGATGAATTATCCTTGTTACTGAAGAACCTATGGAAAACCCAGCACATATAAACTGGAGCATTTCCCCTCATTTAGAAAATGCAATATATACCTCTTTCAAGTCATTGTTGAAAACAACTTTTCACTGCTCTATTAAAATAGACCAAGGCGTGAAGCGCCATCGCACGCAAAAAACCGAGGTACAGGCTAATAGCTTAAACTGTTATAAGGCACAGAACGAATAAGACAGAATTCAAGACAGTGATATTTAAGGAACTAGGTTTCACCATCTTAAAGCCATCTTAATGGGGGTGGTGAGGCAAGACGTAAAGACATCAGCAGGAAATTCGGCACTCTGAGGGAGGGTCTCATGCGCTTCACAGGCCGCCAGAATAATGCAATCCCTTGTGGATTCACTGGTATGAGCAGCACACCAGTCATTAAGCTACCACAGAATTACAAATGTTAGTCAATGCAAAGTCCAAAAAATATATGACAAACACTAAAACAATCTCAGATGGTTAGATTTGATATAACATTTACAGCTGAAAGCACGCCCATCTTTGAGTACCTTTATAAATGCATTGACTATCAAACCAGCAGCAGAGCAATCGAAGACATATATCGATGGCGTCTTCAACCAAGTATCAAGTTCACTGATCAGCAGGGGAATATACTGTGTATAACTCTGCAAAAATGGCACAATAAAACATTCAAAAGAAACTCAACCAAATGTGACATTTAATTACTAAAACCGCATGAGCTGTCAGTCCAACCATGCCGCATAAAGTATAGATTCAACAAAATGCAAAAATGAGAAAAGAAAATAGAAATATTACCTTGTTGAAGACCCAGATTTCACCATTTATCGTTGGCTTTCGAACACCGTGACCATTGTAATGAAACAAAACTCTCTCGGACTTGGCATATCTGCGACACATTGTACACAGTTTCTTTACTTCATCAACGGTAGGATCGAGCTTCCCCATATATGAAGCCGGCTCGGACTGCAAGAATGAAGTAAATGAACACCAGAAAACAACGTAAACGGAAATTGTTGAAAAAGAGTTAAAGAAATCTCACCTTCAATTGCCAACTTTCATACTGTTTCTTCAAAGCTTCTCCAATTGATTCAATAGCTTTTTGAGGTTGCATGGAAAGTGGATCTAACAAGGGAAATAAATCCAAGACACAAGAATAAGATTAAACATGTTATTAAAAGTAAAAACTCCAAATATAATCTCCATGTGGTTGCCATCAATAAGATGGAAAAGGAGCAATCCACAATTGCTGAATCAAGAGATAGTTTGAAAATTATCCAATTAAACAAATCTGATTTCAATTGAGTAAAATTGAAATTGAGCTCAGGATCATACGCCATGAAGTATATCCATATATAGGAAAAGGAAGCAAGTGTTCTCAATTTAAGTACATGCGCACGCGCAAATATCACGCAACAATTCCGTAAAGCAAAGAGATACAGTAAAAACAGAAGAGAGATCCAAGCATGTAGGAAATGATCTACCTATCCAGCACTCCATTCTGGCACAAGGAGATGTCTTAATTACATCAGGTGGATCGACACTTATGTTTAAACATAAGACAATAGCTACACATCCTGTTTTAATCTGCAGAGCAACAAATCATTAGAAATATCTCAACTCTAGACTAGCATCATTACTTCCTTTAATTTTTACCTCTGTAAAGTTAACATTCTTACTAATGAATTTCCTTATACTACTTTCGCAACAGCCAACTTCCAATCAATGAAGTAAATGAAAATAAAATAGAGTGGTCTGCAAATAGCATGACTACACGTGCAAAAAAAATGCACAAACACTGCTGTATATCTCTCAACGGAAGGAGACATGAAGAATATTGCGTTATCTTTGATTGATAGAGAGAAGCCATTCCTCTAACATAGAGAGACAAAACCCATTCAAGCAGGGATATCTTAGCAAGAAAAGAATAATCGTAGCAATGACTGCATGCTACGACTCCATCCCACAAAGGTATGGTTTCATTTCTACACCTTAAAGAGAGCAACACTTTATATGAGCATTGTTTCTGCAATAACTTTAGCTTTGATTGAGGTGGATTATGTCATACTTGAAGTAATAAATTAGACAAATCGCTGTTCCCTCAAAACCAAATGAATGACTCTCAGTGTTTCACTTTTAACAGCCCGCTCAATATTGAAATGTCCACCTCATGAGGAACTAAGAGCAAATGCAATACCAGAAGTGGGGACTCGGGAAGCACCAGCACCACGAGCCCCCAGCCCAATAATATAGAAAGGAAAAATAATACAGACATAAAAAACCACATCAGAGGATAAGAGTGCTTCTTCTGAATGTAATTCAACCTTTATCTATTAAAGCTATTTTATTAACGATAAATAGTTCTAATATCAATATATCCACTGCCATGAAAGCCATAAGTCTTTCAGAACATAATTTGCTAGATAAAAAATTCGCATGTCCATATCACAACTGGCAGCTGAAATTTCAATTAACAAACTCTTCTTAAAAGTTCCAGCTAAACACAATTCACCCTACTATTAAGACAATTACTTCAAAGCAGAATGACTAGAGAAATTTGTTCAACTAGATAAGCCAAAACGATCCTCCAAGACAAATCAAGGTTTTATAGGCAAATTAAATGGCTCTCCAATTTTCTAGTTAGAGTCATTTGCTATCCTGCTGAATGTATTAGAGCTAAAGAGTTTTACTGACTTATTGCTTTAAAAATGATACTGGTACTGTTAGAAAGTCCAACCCAAAAGCTTAAGCTATTCGGTGGAGGAAGACCACATGAATATAAAAAGCATTTAGGACCCGTTGTCAATCGGTGTGGGATAATATTTCAACACCCCCACTCACGTACAAGTCGGATTACGAGCAGCACGTGAAATTTTGACTACGCACATTCACGTGGAATTTTTACCACACACATTCGCGAAAGGGATAGCATTGGCTCTGATACCATATTAGAAAGTCCAACCCAAAAGCTTAAGCTATTAGGTGGAGGGAGACCAAATGAATATAAAGAGCATTTAGGACCCGTTGTCAATCAATATGGGATAATATTCCAACAGATACCTAAGGAAATCTATGCCAGAGAAAATTGCAGCTCTACCATCATTATATCCGAATCCATATCCACAAGTTGCATGCCTTACAGGATATATAAACTTGGATTTGTGTGGAATAGAATATAAAAGCACATTCTAACCCATCAAAAACTTGGATGAATGGCAGGAGAGCCTAAGGTCAATGCACCATAATACTTTTGTACACCAAGCAGAACATCCAAACAAAAGAACCATTTCGCAGGTGCATATATGGAAATGCATTACCTGTATAGATTGACAATGATAATGACAGAAAGCAGTCTAGAATTGGAAGTTTGATTGCCAGAGGGCTTCTCAGTTAACTTCAGAAGATCAGACTATGCCCAGAACCTAATGTTCAGAGAAGTATAAAGAGAACATTTCCGGTCAGTTAGCCAGGGTAAGACACAAGGGGCGGCCAGTTCTAGTAGACCCATATGTTCTTAGCTTCCCTAAGTCCCCCATCGTCCCCTTTAGAAATGGAGGTTATAGGAAGAATGCCAAAAAAAATTCCTCAGTATCTCACGCATCTACATCAAGTGTTTTGTATCATTAGAGAATATTCATAAGCCTTAGTTATTAAGAAATAATTCACCCCTCTTTGCCCTAGCTATCTCTTAACAATAAAAAAATGCAATACAACTTACATACATAATCATGTGAAATGCAAATCACTCGACCCAAATAGCATCAAGTCACGATCGCAACACAAACCAGTTCAGCGGGCAAGAGAACTCCCCAACAGCCACAATGTGAAGACGAAAAGAGCAAATTGCCCATCAGACAGCCAGCACTTATTCACAAACTAAGAACCTCGACATCATCAACCAAGCTAACGAGCAGTGGAAAAAAAAAAGGAGAGACAAGGAACGCCAGAAGGTTTACCCTTTTCTTAAGCCGCCATTTCGAGACTAGGCTGCTCTCCGAGGGGCCGCAGGACACGCAGGCCTCGAACGCCTCATGCCGGAGCTCGCACAAGACGACATTTTGCAGCGAGTACGAAACGTTGCTCGCGCCACAGTCCCCATCACCGTTGCTGGAGGAAGGGCCGTGGTGGTCCGGGCGATCCGACGCCACGGACGCCGTCGACTGAGAGAACCGGGAAGCCACCACGTCCCCCAAGGCCACCAATTTGGAAACCAATCCCTCTCGGTGACACCAGCCATATAACCCGAACACCATGACACCCAGAAGAAAAAAAGAGCCACCCAGATCACAAAAACGGGGGGAGAAGGCGGCAAGCGTTCGGGCGGAGGCGGAAAAGGGCGGGGACTACTCGACGAAGCCGCTGAACCAGCGGCGCAAGGAGACCCGCAGGAGGACGGCTAGAGAATCCAGCTCGAAGGACCCGAGAGAGATACGGAGGTTTCAGGAGGAGGAGGAGGAGAGGGAGCGACGGAGGCGCGTGTCTGTGTCGAGGCTGCGGCGGCAGCCGAGGGAGAAGCAGCTGCTGACGAGAAGTCCGAGGTGGAAGGAAGAACCGTGCCGTCGCCGACAAGTCAACCTGGTGTCGAGCATGTCGGGACTCCGACAGCCAAAAAAACAGTTAGCCGAATCTTCGGCAACTTTCGTTTCATACGGACGCTGATCTCTTTCTTTATATAACACTCGTGTTGATCCCGTGAAAATTGCACTCGATCCAAGAAATTTCTACCAATCACCATGTACTAAATTACTTAAATGGTAAGTTTAAGGTTAGTGCAAATTCATGGGACAATTTTTTCCCTCTCTCCACCTCCCTATGAGTGTTAAGAACTTGAATGCAGGATCGGAAGAGAGCGATCGAGCGAAATTATAACTTGACAGAAAGAAAATGGTTTTGTTTTTATGATGTTTGTATTCGAATTCTCGACTTGACTGGTTTCATGGATGTACCGGATCATCCCGTCCGCATGCGTCAAGAAATAACTCAACTTGCACTATGTGAGCATGGCCTCCCGGCGATAATCGAGTAAAAAATACTGTAATTTGAAATGAAATCCGCTGCGTACATAGTACCTAATCATTGACAAAGTGATAAGTTTGAAAGTTGTAGCACGGGAAGCAGCCTGAAAATTAGGTAAAGGCTAGATGGAATATATGTCGAAGGATTTTCTTCTCCGGTGACAATCGAGTAGAAAATATACTGATTAAACGGATATATTGCTATTACATTTCATGCATGCATTTGGCAAGTATAAATTCTTACTTCCTCCAATTCGCTAGGTGTGAACTTTGTTTTATACCCAAAAGGCATGTGAATATAAAATCAATTGCTTTATCAAAAGCACTTTTGACACGAGAAGCATTAGAAACGGAAAGATTTTATCCACTAACTTAAAGAATACAATTATTAATATTGACTTTCTACACGTGTTGGTATTATAAATTCGTTGGTATTAGATTGGAAAGATTCATCAATCCACGAAACAGATAAAACTATTAAATATTAAATTTCATATTTGTGTTAGTATTTTGATTTTGTTCGTGGAGCCAATGTTTCATCCCATTAGTGTACAACCCAAAAGTTCTAAAGATCAAAATCCATCGGTACATTTTCAACTATGGCTTCCTCAATGAGGTCAGTCTTCTAGTTCGACATTTATGAAGCGGCGTCGCTCGAAATTGCTCGAAACCGGCTGCACGGATCGGGTAAATCTGTATTCATGACTTGGTAAATAACTCGAATTGGGAATAGAACACGGTACCCGCCTCGCTCCTTGCTCCGAAATGACGTTTTTATCGATCGAGTAAATGGAGTCATTCAAAGACAAATAATGCATGTTTTTATCACCAGCAATAGCTTAAGACACTTTCAGGAGGGAGATCAGTTCTCAAGTCCTTCCGAAAAGTCAGCATAAAGAATTCGAGATGCAAAGGACTCTTGAGGCCCATTATCATGCACACGGGGTGACGCAGCTGTCGTGACCTCATTCCTCTTCGATCATCTCAGCATTACAAAGTTACAAAACCTGAATTATTAAACCACTTTTGTTTATTCTCCAGGATCTGTCTGTTGGAACAAAAGGTGTATTAGTAGGAAATGGAATCGGAATATAGTCGGACTTTGAGGTGTGTAATTACTCTCTTTTAGGATTAATTTGTCTCACGAAGTTGCTATAGGTTACTGGCAAATTCCCTTCGTAATACAACAAAGTCACGGTAAGAATACTGGATAGCAATTCCAGTATTTCTCCTAAAACTCTCTGCGAAACAATTGAGAAAATGGCTATCTCGTTTTTCTCTTGAGGAAGACGAAAATGAAGGGAGTTTTGAATATATGTCAATTGAACAGAATTGTCCCATATATATAAGCGAATAGAAGATATCTCTTGGTGTCTAACTGCCAATACGGACACACCCATTCATGTCCGAAAAATTGCAATTCAGACATAACCCTTCGTGTTTGAAAATCGCCACTCGGACACAACCGTTCATGTCCGAAAAGTTGCAATTCGGACACAACTCTTCGAGCATGAAACTGTCAATTTTAGACATACCTTTTCGTATCCTAAAACGGACAGTTTTGTTCATAAGTTAAAAAAAATTTAAAAAAATTAATCAAATAAATTATTGATTAAGGTTTGTTTTGGTCTGAACATGCGTGCCAAGTGCTAAATGCGCATTAAAATCACGCACCCGCATGCGGGTATTATGGGGTCTAGCCCACTCACCATTTTTTCTCCATTTACAATAAAGGATAATATCTTAACTTATAAATACACCAAAACTTTTCTTTCTTTCCTATATGGACAAGAAAAATGCCTTATTTGTTTGTTTGTAAACAAACACCAACCCTGTCTGTCTGTTTCAACCATGTCCGAAGGGCCGTTCATCGTTGCGCACTGTCTCATATCATGTCCATCGGTCGTGGTTGGTCGCTCTCAAAACAAGTTGAGAAGCATCGGCAACCTTTCTGATTGGAACACTTGATCATAACTAGTGGGTGAAAAAGAGATCAGATCAGTACGCAGCTGAGTGGAGAAAAAGCTCCTTTTTATGCAAGATATGCACATTGTAGAGAGCGTGATAGAGAAGTGACACATGGCGTCTTGGTATATGTTAGGAGTTTACCAAGACTTGGCCCTGTTGAATGCATTATCTCTTCATTGCGTTCGCCAATAGAACTCCAATTTTCCTAGTGTTGTATTGAGCACAAACGCATAAGACCATTGAGGGTATATGAAGATTGACCCAGACCAAACCCTAAAGTTTATAAGTGTAATTAAACGGAAAAATTACCAAAATAGTCTTAAACCTATTGCAATTGTGTCAATTTAGTCATAAACCTTTTTTTTATACTAATTTAGTCTTAAAATTTTTGCATTTGTGCCAATTCGGTCCATCCGGCTAATTTTGGCCAGCCGATTCTGACGTGGATGATGGTCGGCCAGCCAACACTGACGTAGCAATTTTTTAATATTATTTTTATTTTTTCTTTTCTTTTCTTTTTCCTTTTTTTTTCCTTCATCTTTATCTTCAACCTTTGGCCGGTCGCCGGTCCGGCGACTGGCTAAAGGCGAGGGCCGACAAGGTTGGCCACGTCGGTTGCTAGCGAAGCCGACCTCGCCAGTTGCCGGCAAGGACGAGCCCTCACCGAGGTCGGCCTCGCCAGCCCTTGGCGAGGGTTCGTCCTCGCCATCGCTGGTGAGGGCGGCCTCGTCCACCCCTGACGAGGCTCAACCTCGCTAGTTGCCGGCAAGTTCGAACTCGCCGAATCTGGCGAGGGCTCGTCCTTGCCGACCCCCGGACCGGCGACCGACCAAATGTTGAAGATGAAGATGAAGGAAAAAAAAAAAAAGAAAAGGAAAGGAAAAAGAAAATAAAAAAATTTGAAAAATTAAAAATAATATTAAAAATTGCAACATCAGCATTGGCCGGCCAGGCTACGTCCACGTCAGTGCCGGCAGGCCAAAATTGGCCGGATAGACTGAATTGACACAAATGCAAAAAGTTTAGGACTGAATTAACACAATTACAATAGGTTTAGGACTGTTTTGGTAATTTTCCCGTAATTAAACTAATGTGCACGAGTGTATGCGACATGTTGAAAGGCAATCTTAAAATTTCTGACTCGAGGCAATTCGAGCATAAACTTGTGGATCGAAGAGGAGAAACATGAAAAGTGAAGTAGCAAAATCAGCGATGAAGGAAACCCTAACGAAAGGTTTTCGATTTGCGCCATTCGAGCCCCGCCCCACATGAGGTGATCCTGAAAATTCCCAGTTTATACGTTCGAAGTGGAATTTTTTTTTCTTATGAGGGTAGTAATCAAAGGACGGATATGCCAAAATGGCTAATCCGGATAATTTGTGATATGTAACTTTCAAAATCGCCTCGAGCATTAGATTCTCAAATCAAGACGAGCATCTTATTACTCGGTTAATGAATGAAAACCTTATTAGTAAATTATACTTAACAATTATCGTTCCAAACTCAACTTTAGCCAAATCAGCTAGCTACCTTTCCAAGGCATCTTTAAGTGAAAAGGTATTAGTGGCAAAACCCAACTTAATCACCTCATTTATTGCACAAAACCCAATCATACACCCTACACCATTTTATATTGTAGAAGAGCTCTACTTTAATTATATAAGTATACATCGATATAATTAGATATATAAATATCAAATATAAAGAGAATAACGAAAGAGTTTCATCAATTTGTGCATTCCAATTTTATGCACATTGGATGTGAGATGTGAAGAAAATAATAATCATCAATTGTACCTCATGAATGGCCAAGAGCCCTCATATATAAAACAAGATTTTGGTAACTAAATTTCACAAAACAAAGTTTTATTTACGAAAAGGAAAAGGACAAATTGATCGCTTTCAATGAACAAAAGTATGCTTTACTCTATGTACTGGTGTACCTGCGCATGCTTCGCATGGGTTTTATATTTCAAAGTTTGCTGGAAATTCATGTTTACTAAATCACATTCCCCATGTTTCACATTCATCTTACAGGGAAATTAACTAATATTTGGAGCTATATGAATGACAAAAGAACCAAAAGATGCTCGTCGCGCCTTGACGGATCGCTCTAATGCGAGGGAGGTGCGGGAAAGCTTGATCAATATCTAAGTTTGGCCTTCCTTATTCAATGGTAAATTAACTAATTTTTAGAGCTATATCAATGACAAAAGAACCTGAAGATGCTCGTCACGCCTCGACGGATCACCTCTACGGCGAGGGAGGTGCGGGAAAGCTTGATCAATATTTCATTTTGGCCTTCCTTATTCAATGGAAACATCTCTGCTTGGCTTCAAATGAATGTTGTTTCGTCTGAAAAAAAAGAATGTTATTTCTTGCTTCTCTCTGGGTTATCTGGAAGACGAGAACTCCAAGGAATGATCCGAAGACTCATTTTGGACTTGAGAGTCAACGGAGAACTCTGATGCGCTTCAAGTTTGCAGAAGCCAATTTCAGGTGAACCGAAAACCTCCTTTGGTGGGTTGGCGAAAGTCGAATACCGATGGTAGCGCGAAAACGAATCCCGGGGAGCCGAGTGCCGGAGGTTTAATTCAAGGTGAGGATGGAAGGTGGTTACTGGCTTCTCTATGCAGTTAGGTCATTGGGATCATGCTGTTATCTGAACTGGAAAGTCTGAAGCAAGGATTCATCTTGGCCTGGAATGAAGGAACTCGTCTTCCGGAAGTGAATGTTGTTGATTCTTCAGAAGCAGTTCCTTTGATGATTTTAAAGTGCTACTGTGAAACATCTTCTTCTGGCAAATATGACACTCGATTGTAAATCTTTATTAGCAACAATAGAAGGTGGAAGTTACACTATCTGCAGAAAGAGAAACTATCTTTTAACAACTAGCACTTTATGTAGTAAAAAAGAGGTGTCTATATAGATCGGGATTCCATTTCTAAACACGAGTTTAGTGGGGACGGATTGTGTATGGGTTCCTTCCTAAGAAAGTTCAAAACCCGATTAAAACAGGTTTAAGTAAGCCGCTTAAACGAGTTTAGTGGGGACGGACTGTGTATGGCTACTGTGAAAATTCCCAGTTTCCTTACTCGACGCGCATTTTTATTACCACATTGGACAGTTCATCGTCGGTAAGCCGCTTTGGATTGGTTGTGACTGACTGCATGCTCGAGCATCGATTAACCCTAGTTTTTGCCGATGGCAATCTGAGATATGAAAGATGATACATACACTGAGAGAACGCCTAGGAGGATAAAATACTTTTAACCCAAAGTTAATGATAACTTGCTATTTCCCTGTATCAGGACTCGTAAGATTGTTAAACGTAAGAGGCAGGAACAGTTGGTTGATTGTTAGATTTCTTCCTTCACTGAGTCAATTGCATCGGAGAATCGGCTACTATGATTTCTTTTCCAATTTAGCCATAGAAGATTAAGAAAGCAGGAACTCGATTAACTGTGAACTCGGCAACACGAGACGACAAGAAATTTAGCAGTATAAGTGGGATGTAGGTATGCAAGCATCCCTTTATTCCTTAATAACTGTTCTTTTAAGGAAGTAAATGCCTAGTTCACTCCCACAGTAACGTCAGTGTTCCAACCGTATTAACGACCTTCCTCAAATAAGGTGACTTGAACATCAATCTTGGTTCCATCAACGACGTAATATGCAGAGAGAGGCAGGTCTTCGTTCATTTGAGTGTCGAGGCGAAAGAGAGTGATTGAACAGCTCCTAAGACCCCATCGCCTCTCGATTTTGTTCCTTAGGTCGGCGACGGAGTCCGTCTCTCGGGTCCTCATAGGGCCCTGCTTCAGGGAGGACTCGAGCTGGACGGCAATCTTTGTCCCCTCAGGCAATGGAGCCACGCTAAGCGTCACAGTCGCGGAGTCCCGGCCGAAGATGCAGTGTCGGATCTCCTCATCATCAAGCAGTGTCCGCTCGTCATACACCAAGGTCTGCCTCCCAATCTCCACGCCAAGGACGTCTTGGATCATCTCCTTCAAGTTGAGGATGGTGTCGAAGTACGTGACCTCGATTTGCGGCGTGATCTCTCCTCCATCGATGCGTAGGAGCACCATGGTCTGAAGATTGGGGAGGGAAGGGGTTCGCCTCTCGATTGGCTTGCCTTGTAGAGGGTGATTGGCAAGATTTGCGCAAAGGGTTTCGTCAATTATATGGATGATATGCATCCAAATTGAATGTGAAGAGCCACAATGAGATTTGCACGCTGCATGAATTACTTGTTTCTAAATCCTAGCTCAGGCTTTTTCATGATCAGTTGGTAGGATCATGAACAATGTCTCATCGTTCATGAGAGCACTCGTTTCAAATTAGTTTCATTTTTGCCTAGTTCTTTTTTCCCTCCAAAATTTCCCCGGAGCATGCATCATGCTAGGTACTGAATACAGATGTCATGCTTCTTTTTGCTTAATTTGTCAAGTCACTCCATCTGTGATTGGATAAAAGACTATTTGAGTTCAAATTGACAATCCACTATTAAAAAAGGGTATGAGTATACCTCTGATACTAGCGTAAAATCCTGTTAAAGATAGAAAATTCTTGACTTAGCGAAAGAAACAAACTTAAAACCCCTCTTTTGATGCTAAGGGTCTATTTAGTAACGTTTCTGTTCCTAGAAACAATTTCTGTTTAGAAATTGTTTTTTCTATTTCTATTTCCTAGACGAGTTTCTGAGAAAAAAACGCATTTAGTAACTATACAAAATTTCTATTTCCGGAGTAGAAAAAGAACAGAAATGCGTTTGGTAAGACACTAAAAATTTTTACTCCCAATTTTTTTATTTAATTATAAAATTGTCGGTGGAGACTTATCAATTCATGTTTGGATAAAATTGGACTAGAAATAGAATAAGAATATATTATGATATAGAATTGGATGACCTTAATACAATTATAAAGAAAATTACTCCTTATAGATAAAGCAAATACCGGGTGGTAGTCGAGGAAATTACAGTTTAGGGGACTTAACGATTCATGTTTGGATAAAATTAAACTAGAAATACAATAATAATATATCATGATATAGAATTGGATGACCTTAATATAATCATAAAGAAAATTACTCCTTATAGACATATCAAATATCGGGTGGTGGTCGAGGAAATTGCAATTTAGGGCATAGGATTTTAGGATTTGGGGTTAGGGGTTAGGGTTTTAGGATTTTGGTTTTGAGGTTTTGGGTTTTAGATTTTGAATTTTATGGTTTAGGGTTTAGGGTTTAGGTTTTAGAGTTTCGAGTTTTGGGTTTTAGGTTTAGCGTTTCAGATTTCGGGTTTTAGAGTTTGGGGTTTAGTAGTTTAGGGTTTTAGGGATTCGGATTTTGGGTATTGGGGTTTGGGATTTAGGGTATAGGGTTTATGGTATACAGTTTAGAGTTTGGGATTTATGGTTTAGGGTTCGGGATTTTGCAGTTTAACGTTTTAGGATTTAGGGTTTGGAATTACGATTTTAGGGTTTAGTTTTAGGGTTTCGGGTTTGGAGTTTTGGGGTTTAGGGTTTAATGTTTCGGGTTTTGGGTTTGGGATTAGAAGGTTTAGGGTTTTAGGGATTTGGGTTTTGGGGTTTCGGGTTTTTCATTTTAATATTACGGGTTTTAGGGTTTGGTTATTGAGGTTTAAGGTTTTGGGGTTTGGTTATTGAGGTTAAGGCTTTAGAGTTTAGGATTTGGGGTTTAGGGTTTAATATATCCCTGACCACTTTTCTGTTCTAGAAAACAAAAAAATTAAGGGTGCATTTGGCAACCGGCCAAAGAGTAACTATTTCTATTCTTTTGTTCTCAGAATCAGTTTTGAAATAGAAATCCGTTTGGTAAATTTTTTATTCTCGGGCACAAATTTACAAAAATTTGTTCCCAGAATCAGTTTTGGAACAGAATCAAGAAGCAAAAAAAATTATCTTCTTAATTCTAGGAACAAGAATCAGAAATGAAAAGAGAATTTTTTTTTTCTTCTTCTTCCTCTTGGTTTTCTTCTTCTTCTTATTCTTTTTCCAGACCTGTGGCCGGCCACAGGGCAAGGCCGGCGAGGGTGAGGGCTGGACCCTCGCCAGATTCGACGAGGGCGGATTGCGGCCTGGGCGAGGGTCGCCCTTACCAGATCTGGCGAGGGCGACCCTCGCCCAGGCCACCAAGAGTAGCCCTCCCCTAGGCTGCGAGTCGCCCTCACCAAAATCGGCGAGGGCAACACTCGCCCAAGCCGCGAGCCGCCCTCACTTGTGGCCGGTCGCCGGCGACCTAGCCATGGCCATGGAAGGGGAAGAAGAAGAAAAAAAAAGAAAAAATAAATATTAAAAATTTTAAAATATTATTAATAAAAAGAAATTTTATGCGGTTATCAAACGTATTTCTGTTCTTTTTCTATTCCAAGAATAAAAAACTTTCAAATGCTTATAAATTGTTCCCAAGCACGGAATAAAAAAGAATCATTTATAAACAAAAATTACTTTCGGGAACAGAATAATTGCCAAACACACCCTAACTGGTGTTACTAAACGGATTTCTATTATTTTTCTGTTCCGAAAAACAAAAAAACAGAAAAACAAATAAACAGAAACGTTACTAAATAAGCCCTAAAGATCCAATAAGTCCAACATTGATTCCTTCAAGAAGTAGTTTGTACATCTTGCAATTTGAATACGTTTGATGGGATGATGAAATTCATGCGAGCCACTTGTTATCGCATGCTGAAAACAGACGTCGTGCACATGGTCCCCTTTCTACCCATACATTCCAACACGCGACCAACGGAAAAAAAGTGACGCTCATCGACCAAGATAAATCACTACAGTACAGATTTCAAATGGATGGTCGCTAGCAATAATGTGAGAAACACAGGAAGTTCAGAACCTGAAACTGATTGGTGTCAGTCAGACAAATATGAAGCCATGGCCCTCCCATGAGACAATTCCAACATAATACAGTAAAACAGGAAGGAAAAAGGTTTAAAATGGAAATGGAAACACAGAGACCATCTGATTAACTATAGAGGTCATCGTCATCAGCAGCACCAGCAGAAGCTGCGAAAGGATCTGATCCCGCAGCACCGGCACCAGCCTCTGCAAATCGAAATTCGCTTCCAAACCCTCTCGACTGCTGGAGTGTCTGGGCAAAAGCTTGATACTTCCTAATATCGGCATCACTCACACTCCTGCGAGCATACTTCATCGATTCCTCGAAATGTGCGGCTTTGATCTCAGCCACTTCATCCTCGACGTCCTCCTCCATGGCTTCTGGATTATCCCTTCTCCTTCTCTCCCTCTCGATATCCTGCAAAACACACGACAAAAGAGGAAAAGCTTAGTTCCTAGGCTATATTTGGTAGCAAAACATCTAGACAGGAAACTGATCAGTCTAGGAGAAGTGGAAAGTATGCGAAATGTAATGAGCACTCATTCGTATGTCAGCAATAGACAAGCAATGTGTAAGGAATCCTCAAAAAATTACAGGCAGTATCATAAAGAACCATGATGGCGAAAATGGGTAAACATGCAACTATTTGAACAATACGTTTTAACTAGGAGAACCAGAGAATTCACGCATTCTGAGTGTTAAGACCACAAGCGGTCATCCCCCCTTCAATTTGCGCGACTGAAATTATGGAATCAAATGAAGATAGAACCTTGATTCTACTTCAGTTCCCACCCATCTCACGAACATCATAACTCAAGTCATTAAAAGGAGAGACACAGTAAAACATCAAATAAGAGAGGAACTGTACTTTCTCGATGTTTTCTCTGATGGCATATTTGCACGCACGCTGGCATATTTCTGTGATATCAGCACCACTGAAACCTTGCGTATACTTAGCAAGAGCTCTCAGATCAACGTCTTTGGAGACTGGAGATTTCCTCAAACATGCCTTGAAGATTTGATGTCGAGAGTCCTCATCAGGGAGAGGGATGTAAATCAGTTGATCAAGACGGCCTGGACGTAGAAGTGCAGGGTCTATAATGTCTGGCCTGTTGGTGGCTCCAATGATGAACACAGTTTTCTTCGCAGACATCCCATCCATCTCAGTGAGCAGTTGGTTCAAAACCCTATCAGCAGCACCCCCAGCATCTCCAACACTGCTTCCTCTCTGCATGTAATGCAACCAAGAAAATGAGGTGGAAGTCAAACGAGACAATTAAGGAACCAACATATCTCAGAAAAAAAAACACAAAGGAAAAGGAACTAAGGCATTTGTACATAACAAGTTTTGCCTTATTAGTTCTTCAATAAAGGATTAACAAAAATCAACCATAATAAAAGCTACTGCTTATTGAATCAGTGTAGCACAATCTGCAATCCCACTGTTGTTTAGGCATCAGAAATTAACAACTTTTAAACCTCAAAATACTCTGTTATGGGGATTGATAGAAAGACATGAAGCACAAACAGAAAATAATAATATTATTGACGACAAGTAGTTCATTAACTTGCGCATATAAACAGCACTTGATATATTTAAATTGCTGCCATGAATTCTAGGTTACCAATCTACAAACAATATTCAGTTTTATCACATCAAGCAGATGAGATTGTATCTGCTTTATAATAACTCTTTCGATACATTTTGACTCACTGACGTGAGAATATCACCTGCATTCAACCATTCTCATTAATACTACAATCAGGATATACTTCCATTCCTATACGGTTTTTAAATCCAACCCAAGAACCATAGAGAATGAAGAAAACCAAACCTGTGTAGCAATCGAGTCGAGCTCGTCGAAAAATAGAACGCAGGGGGCAGATTGTCGGGCCTTGTCAAAAATTTCACGTACATTTGCCTCACTCTCTCCAAACCACATAGTAAGCAACTCAGGTCCCTTCACACTGATAAAATTTGCCTGACATTCATTGGCTATAGCTTTAGCCAGAAGAGTTTTGCCACATCCAGGAGGACCATAGAAAAGGACTCCCTTAGAAGGTGACATTCCAAATTTCTCAAACTTCTCAGGATGCTCCACTGGATATTGAACAGTCTGCACAGAAAACGACAAAGGAAGCATTAAATTTCAAATTCATGACCTCACAAAAGCGTACACAAAAACAAAAAGAATACAAGTAATCATACCTC